ATCAGACCACCACAGATGGGGCCCAATAGGGCCGATGCCGATTCGGAGTCGCGGAGAACCTAACGGGTAACCGGGGCTCCGGCTCGACGTGCAGGAGAAGGAACGGGGTGGTTTTTAGTCAGTAAGAGTCTGACACTCCCTCCCGCCTCACCCAGGCGGGGCAGTCATTCGATGATTTTCCCCCCTTAAAAAAAAAAAAAAAAAAACCTCCGTGCGAAAAAGAGGCGTTTAGTCAGCAGTAGCCATTTTTTTCTAAATTAGATATCATTTCGATTTGAATGAGCATAATGTCTTTTTTCCAATTTTATTTTTATGCCAATATAAATAAAATCGTGTTAATTTACATTACAATACGATAAAGATCCATCACTTATAAATGGGAATTAGAGTTTCGTATCATTATTTTACAAATTGACAGTTTACTGAACCGAATTAAAAGTCTCAGGAAAGGATGTTGGAAAGAAAGGCGGACACTGTCTCTTGAAACAACGACTGTGGCATCTGGTTGCTATAGAATTTATACCCAGACTATACACACATTGACACGATTGGAGACGAAGGATATTTGAGGTAAAATGGGGTGAATAGGGATCGAGAGGTGAATAGAGACAGAAGAGGGGTGAATCGGTACTATGGATCGATTTTTTTGATGATGAAAGTTTATGTTAATCTAAATTTCTGATGTTCTATTATAAGTATTTTTGTATAACTTGTGTTTTGCCTAATTTTGAATGATTTGATTGTTATTAATTAATTTTGTTTTGTTTAAATTTAAAAATTGTATTTAATTATTTTATTAAACTAATTAAATAATTTTGCATGCCGTTAGGCAAAATGTACTGGGATTCTCCATAAATAAAACAACATATTTGTTACCTACATTTTTGGCAAATAAATTATTTCTGATTTCTGGAGAATTTTCCAACATCTATTCACCCCTCTTCTGTCTCTATTCACCTCTCGATCCCTATCCACCCCATTTTACGGTAGTGTCATTTTCTTAAGTCTGGTAACGTGGTAGCCCATTGCACACGCACACAAAGTGCTCCAACCATTTCTATGTGACATTCTGTCCGCCTTTTTCAACTTCCTTGGTCTCAGGTTGATACTGACTTGTTTCAATAAATAGATTGATACTAACCTCTTCAGTCCTCTGTTCCGTAGTGTCAGGTTGTTCTGTCGATTCAGGTGTTCGCGAAACGGTTCGGTTTCTGCGCCTCAGAACAGCTTTCAGCGACCATATGGCAATGGTATACAGTATCAATACCATCACCAGTATGATAATCATCGACACCACACCCTTTGAAAATAATAACACAATTAGACAAAAATAGATTTTAAGTGTGGCAGAGCCATGCTTCGGCACAAATGGGCCGGCTCGACCGGAGTGATACCACGGCCTCACAGAAAACCGACGTGAAGCAACGCTTGCGTTATGTTTCGTCGTGTGAGTGAGGTTACTGAAGGCCCAATTACCCTCCCCTTCCCCAATCTCCCCATTCCCTGAATCCCCCCCGATCCTCAAACTCCTAATCCCCAAAATGCCGGTAACGCACTTGTAACGCCTCTAGTAATCCAGATGTCCATGGGCGTCGCCCATTGCTCATTGCTTACCATCAGTTGATCCGTCTGCTCGTTTACCGGTTTATGCCATAAAAAAAAAGATAACTTAAAATAAAATGAGGTCGGTAATACGTCCAACATAACGGATCATTATCATCTTCCCCTAATCGGGGGAAAAATATTTTACTTCCCTTATAGAAAGTAGAATATGCTATCACGACTACGATGATTAAATGAAAATTAAAATATTTTCTCACCCAGAATACTGAATATGCACCCATCGTAACTCTTCAGGCTGACTGTATCCAATACGAAAGCATGGTAATAAAAAACGTAATTTAAATAATAAATTACCACTAATTCCTCATCATCATCATCATCATCATCATCATCAGACAACAGACATCGTCGGTGTTAAATTCTGTCTAGAAGTCTAAATAGATGTCTCTATCTTAAGATTTATTGATTAAAACTGGTAGAAGGAAAGGGTTTGTTACCATTATAAGACTCGTGTTACGTGTCTGGTACACGCACTCACACCTCGGGCAAAACATATACAGTTTTCCTTCAAGTTCTTCCCTAATGAAAGGAAACACAACGTCCTCGCAGTTGCTGTGGACAAATTGACCACTTACAATAGAATTTAAGTGTGGGAGAGCCATGCTTCGGCACTAATGGCCCGGTTCGGCCGGAATGATACCGGCCTCACAGAAAACCGACGTGAAGTAACGCTCGCGTTGTGTTTCGTCTTGTGAGTGAGCTTACCGGAGGCCCAATTACCCCCTTCCCCTTCCCCAATCTCCTCAATCCCTGAATCCCCAATGATCCTCAAATTCCCAATGCCCAAAACGCCGGTAACGCACTTGTAATGCCTTTGGTTTTCCAGGTATCCTTGGGCGACGACGATTGCTTACCATCAGGTGATCTGACAGCTCGTTTACCGGCTTATGCCATAAAAAACCACCAATAATCCTATGTGCTGGACCCGGGAATCGAACCCTAGATTCGTTGTTTGGCAGTAATGCTTACGATTTTACAATAAAACTGCAGATAACGGTACTTGAAAAACTTTCGACCATAGCTTGGAACCTCTTTTTTTTTTTTTTTTTTTTTTGGGGGGAAAATCATCGAATGACTGCCCCCGCCTGGGTGAGGCGGGAGGGAGTGTCAGACTCTTACTGACTAAAAACCACCCCGTTCCTTCTCCTGCACGTCGAGCCGGAGTCCCGGTTACCCGTTAGGTTCATCGCGACTCCGAATCGGCATCGGCCCTATTGGGCCCCATCTGTGGTGGTCTGATGGCTCTTTGAGGCGCGCGCGGAACGCGACGCGCCGTACGCTCGGGAGCTTGGAACCTCTACAACCTCATAAAAACGCTCGCATTGCGTTGCCTGGCAACGCACTTATACTTGAAAAACCAAAAACCTTGAAATATTTCTTGACTCGGGCATCGAACCGGGCATTGCGCTCTATTGTTGTACCGAGGAACTTACCAAGTCAGAGTGCTAAAGTGCGTAAGTAAGTGAGACCTCCTAGGCAAAAAAATTAACGACAGGTTTGTACTTACCACAGGTTAGGAGGTACGTTCCCAGTATAGATCTGCCGCGTGGTCGAGGTGTTAAGAACTGCAGCAGGACTTGGACACACGCACCGACAACGACGATCCTCAAAGAATTGTGCCTACGAAAAATAATCCCCCAGTTATTGAAAATATCTCAATCATCTTTGTTCTATAAATAGACCATCTCACGCGAGGGAGGTAGCGACTCTCCCAGGTAAACGTATAGATCAATAAAACTCTTGTCTATTTATAATTTGTTGATATCAAATTATTTTATTTTATTAATATTGTCCAAATAAATGACCAAGGACCCGACGCTAACTAATGAGGTCGTATTTAACCGGAAGGCGCGCGACGCGAACTGGGTGGGGTTGCACGGCGCATCTGGGACGCGCTGCATGGGTCATCAATATCTGCGCTATCGATTACTTCCTTAACAAAGGACCTCAGCTAAAACGTACCGAATTTGTGTGAAAATGTTTTAAAACACTCCGATAATGTCTTTTTGCCACCAAACTGAACACTGAACACAAGAATTACGCGCGATAGACAATAAAAATTAAGATTTTAATGCACTTGGGATATCCTTGTACTGGAAATCGACGACGCGACCGCGCCGACCGACGGCGAAATGAAGACTGAAGGGACGCCGCCGCTCGGCCGGGACGCGTCGGGACGCTGCTGCACCCTACCCCGCGCTCCCTGCACAGCCTCCCTGCAACCCCCGCAACTACCCCCGCTCGGTTGTTGCACCCGCCTCGCGACCCTCGCAGTCCCCGCAGCTACCACCGCCCGGCTGATGCACCCGCCCCGCGACCCTCGCGGTCCCCGCAGCTACGCAGCTAGCCCTGCCCGGCTGATGCACCCGCCCCGCGACCCTCGCGGTCTCCGCAGTCCTGCAACTACCCCTGCCCAGCTGGTGCACCCGCCCCGCGACCCGCGCGGTTCCCTCGGGTCCTTGAGCTACGCCCGAGCCCTGGCAACCGCCCCCTTATGTATCATTGCTTAGCACAATGGGGTACTGCGCTCGCCTTATGTATGTACATTGCACCCTAATCCTATCGACCGCCTAGGATACGCCGCCACCTCCTACACGTATGATTTATGGGACTTGGGAGTCGACGCTTTACTTTTTTCTTTTCATGTGAACATAATGATGTTTGCTATAGGTATGTATGTCGTATCTACCTAATATTTTTAAAATCAGTTTCTCGATCCATACAAAACAAAAGTATAGTAAAATTAGTAAAGAAAATATAATGTTTTTAACAACCGAATAGCATAACTTGGTAATTCATACAATCACTATGAAAAACAAACTTATATTGGTAGTTTGAAATCTATTTAACTTTATTTATTCTTTGTTTTCGATTTGAAGAACAGTAAACTTCTTATTAAAGGTAATTATTTAAATCAAATAAATACGTGTTTAAGTAATTTAATAAGAGTTGAAACACGGGTCGGAAGTTTGTTTTATAAATAATCAACTTCCACTCGACCAAAGCCGCTTGAAACAGTTATTTATTCAAAAAGCTTCATGCACATGATTGCACATTAGGTGAACTTAATGCTATTATAGTTTATATTTTTTAGATGAACAAAAAATAACCTTTAAATGAAAATTTCTTTGATAATGCCCAAGTGTTTGTTGTGGAAAATGAAGACAGGTCAACGAACAGACGGGTCACATAGTGGAAAGCAATCGGTGTGGCCGATGAACATTCACAACATCAGACAGGAAGGAAGTTGTCGGCCTGTTAGGGATTGTGGATGTGGGGATCAAGGGAAGAATTGGGTATCCGATAATCTCACACATACGACGAAACACAACGCAAGCGTTGTTCCACGCCGGTTTTGTGAGGCCGTATGGCAAGCATGGCTATCCCACATCAAAACATAATTTTACAAAGGAAAGGTGTCCTCTTCCAAGAGTTATCGAACCAATGGCCGTGGAGTTGTTTACCCGTTACTTCTAGATACCTCCCTTAAGGTCAATGCTCTGTGAAATGTTATAATTTCATATACTTATCAAGTATTTGATGGGCCCACCCAAAAATATTTTTCTTTACAAGACGTCCACTGCTAGACATAAGACTCAATGACTTCCAGATCATGCTGGTTGGGACCGACTTCCTTACAGCTCCGACCTAAATTACGTCGTCTATCTGCCTTTTGGGCGAACGTTATAGCAGCAATACCTAGCGCGTTCCGCGCGCGCCTCTAAGATCCATCAGACCACCACGGATGGGACCCAATAGGGCTGATGCCGATTCGGAGTCGCGGAGAACCTAACAGGTTACCGGGGCTCCGGCTCAAAGAGCAGAAAAAGGAACGGGGTGGTTTTTATCAGTAAGAGTCTGACACTCCCTTCCACCTCACCCAGGCGGGAGAAGTCTTTCGATGATTTTTATTCGATTTTTCGATGATTTATGAACTAATGCTAACTAGCTACATTATGTATTTGTATTATGTTTAATATTTAAAACAAGAATAAAATTAAAAATTTACAACTTAAAAATAAATTAATATTATGGGTGTCCAGTTAATAGTGCACCATACTGTGAGGGGTGATGGCTGGGATCAATACCTCCTTAACAACCCAATATATTATGTACAGCGAAAATGTACGGTATCAAAACTGTCAAATGACAATATTATAATATAGTTAAGAATCGGTTGATTGAAAAATCGGCTCTTAATGTTTTAACAAAGAGATCCTGTCGGTAGCAAATAGTAGTAATTCATTGAACAACATAATGCAAATTGACCGGTCACTTCCCCTCGTATTGTGAGAACAATTTAGCCTTACTTGCAGACGGCGGCGGCGAGTTGATTCTTCGTCACGGCCAGACCACCGCGCCCTGCTTTAACCGCTGTTAGTACGTTCCTGCCAAATGCACTAACTTGCAACTGTTGTTTCCCCGCAAGTATAATTATGTTACAAAAATTTTGATGACAATTAGATATATGGTGACTAGAGCAAAATCTAAAGTGCAATTTGGTTTTGATACCTAGTCAAAAATATTAATAATTCACTAGCACGTTACTTTATAAGTAAGGTTCCACATAAATGTAATTTTAAAGTATCAAAATATCATAGCTATGAACACAATCATCTCGTAACGTGATTTTTTACGTGAAACAGAACATTTTATTTGATAAGACCTTATATATAGACAGCCCGGATTTTTCACTGAAATAATTATACCCACAAAATGAGCGAAAGAGGTATGTAGGAATCGTAGTATTTGGTGGTCCATAGTCTCTGCTTACCCCCTTGGGAGACAGGCGTGAAGTTATGTATGCATGAACGTATTGAGGCGATTCTTTGTGTACATTAATTTATAACAGTCTTTAGTCAATATTGATTGGTCTTTAGTCAGTATGAGTCTGACATCCCCCCCTCCCCCGCCTCACCCAGGCGGGAGAAGTCATTCGATGATTTTCCCGCCTTAAAAAGACCCCTTCTATATAAGAAAAGTTTGCTATAGTGTCCACGCTAGGCAGGCGTGTTGTAACTCTCTCTTGCTTCTGTTTTGTACCAAAATTTAAGCGTAATGCATGAGACGGGTCTTACGCACCTTCAGGAAGAGTGTGGGTGGGTAGTGACTACTGGTGTCAAATGTATTCGACTCTGACGTCACCATACGGCACCTCCCTCTCGCCTATTTCCTCTAAAATGGTCTAAAACTTTATGGACTGTAAAATTTGTAACTATGAGCATGTATGGATGGGCGGGTCAGTCGCCATGTCGCTTTATGATAATAGGTGGGCGGATCTTTCGTCACACAATTGATAAATCCGCTTTTCAACACTTTCCAGGTATTTTTATTGTTATTTATGAAACAGAAATAGAATTTTATTCGCAGGAATATTTAATACTATGTATCTTAGTATAATTTTATACACTACAATGCATTCTACCTTTTGCAGGCCTGCAAATGTTCGTTTCATTATTACATGGACTATAAATCCAATTTCATTTGTTTCATTACTCTAGGTCTAGCCTAATACTTCCAGTATTTGTTGCTACATATAAGAAAAAATGTAAATAAGGGAAATTGTTTAGTTATAGCAAGAAAACACGTGACGATAAGGTTCATCATGGTTAAAATCCCCAAGCGGTCACCGGTGACCGGTCTCCACTAACAACATTATAGAGGTAGACCTTATTTCCGATGTTTAGAGACTACTTTCGTATGAACAAAAGGGGATGATTTTCAATGAAACAAGCTTTATCCAGGAGTCGAATGACTCTTATTTTGTAAGTAGACTTAGTTTTGATATTCTATTTAAGTTTTTATAAGTAGTGATATTAGTTACTAACTTTTAATATTCTATAGATCCTGGCTTACAGGAGTTGCCGCGGTTTTTGGGAGGTTGTGGCGGGTTTGTTCCAATATAAATATTTTTCTTTTTATTTAATAAGCTGGACAACTGGCAGATGGATCACCTAATCGTAAGCAATCGACACCGTCCTTGGACACCCGAGACACCAAAGGCGTTACAAATGCGTTACCAGTTTATTTGAGGATTGTTGGGGAGATTGTTGAGGCGCTTAATCACTCACACAATGAAACACAACACAAGCGTTGTTTCACGTCTGTTTTCTTTGAGGCCGTGGTATCACTCCGGTCGAGCCGGCCTATTCGTGCCGATGCATGCGCGCCCACAATTGATAAACTTTCAATTCGTAGACTGAGATAACAATAATCTTTGTAGAACCATTAACTATGATTAACAGCTTTCTTAATTAATATTGATGGTCAACAAAACAATTACAAACAAAATTAAAAACGATAGGTACAGGTTTGTTTTATTCAGTAATTATATCATTAAATTCATTTAGAAGGAACAGTTCCAGGTAAAAATAATAATGTAGATTGATATGATAGCTTAAAGTATTTAATTTGGTTAAATACTATAATGGGCGGTTTTTCAATACGGTATTTGCCAACTAGTCAAATTCAATACTTTAAGTATGATGGTTAAGTAGAGGTAGTGTATGTAATCGAACAGTTCTATAATTCTAATTATATGACAGCTTTAACTCATGACTGACAGCCAAGAAGAGCGAATTTTTTATTTTTATCTCATGTGCCGAAATTGAACGCTTTTT